ATAAATGGTGATACTGTTTATTTAAAAAAAAATAAAAATTAGTGCTGCATTTGCGCATCTCGACTGATAAACGAGCCAAAAAAAATATTCAGTGTTTTATAAGTTACTTAGTTTTGGTAATATATTTAAACATTTTATAATTACGTAAATTTTTTTTGGAAATCGTGCAATGTGAGATCATGTCTATGTTTAAGTATTAATTAAAAATTATAATAGAAATATTTTGAACAACTTTACAGTTTTTGTACTTAGGTGATAATTTTGAATAGAGAATAGTCACTTTAATTCCTTTATCTCGTGAGGCCTATATCAACACAACATCACATCAATAAATTAGGATTGAACATTTTTTTTTTATAAACAGTTTTGCCATTTATTTGGCGAAACTTTTCTTTTTTCATTTTTTAAATAAATAATTTATCCTAATTATAAAATTTATAATATTTTAATACGTATATAATTTTTATATTTTTTGGTGAAGCTTAATTTAAAAAATAGAAATTTTGAGATTTTATATTTTAATAGCAAAATTTATTTTTTAAAATTTAAAAATAAAAGTTTTGTCATCAGTCATTACGAAACTTATAACACATATTAAAATTACTTTAAATAAAAAATTAATTTTTAAAAAATATAATTTGGTAATTTAAAAAAAAAAACACTATTTAAATAAAAAAAGTCTCATATGCACTCATGTTTTTTTTATGTTTTGAATCTTACAAATATAAGTAGGATATAGTCCAAAAGTTATTAGAGTATTTTTCAAAAAAAACATGTATAAAAGTAAAATCTCTCTCTCTCTCTCTCTTTATATATATATATATATATATATATATATAAACACTATAATGTAATTGTTTTTTGTTAAAACAAAATTTTTCTTAATTTTTTCTATATGTTGTTATATGATAATACGTAAAAGTGAAGTACTAATGGTACTTTCGTTTAAATATAAAATAGTGAATGTAATTTGTTTATATTTATGATTTTTTAAATAATTTGTTATTAAAAATTAAATTAAATTTTAATAAAAAATATTATAGATAAATTTTTATTGGATTTATAAGCTTGATCAAGAATCTTCAAAACCAAGCGACAAGCGTATAGTTATGGTTTAGCTAGATTAGTTAAAGATTGGTTGGATTATAAATAAGAAGCAAGAAGAGTTAAATTCGAAATACTAGCAAGGTTGATTAATCAAAATCAAAGATTTTCATTTGTCTTATTTAGCAGTTGTCATTGCTCCAAATGAAGCAATATGTTGTGCTCTTTATCCATAATTTCAATTTTGCTGAGAAAAAGAAAGTAGTTGTCAAGAACAGTTAATTTATAAGATGATAAAAAGCGAATTCAATTCAATTGGATAAGGAATCTAGCTACATTACATTTTTATACCATGGCAATCAATGGCTAGACCTAAGCTGAGAGAGGGAGTAGGGATGTCTAGCTCTACACGCATTATATTGTCTATATCAACATCGTGGCGATGCTTAAACCACCCATCATAGCCTTTCTATTACATTCAAATTTAATCAAGCCTTCAACTTTACTCTATAATTAATATCACTACATTTTTGTAGTGAATCTAGCTATATTACGTTTTTGTAATGCCGATAATGAGTGACGCGACCTAGTTAAGCAGTGAGAGAGTAGGATATAGGAACATACGTGTTTAATGTTTAAACCACCCATATAACACCCCTCATTCTATAATATTTTGATTTTATAGAATTTATCGATTTACTTGATAAAAATTTTCAAATAAACACGTAATTGTATGACTGTTAGAAATTCTATTATCTTCGTAATTGTGCGTTTTACTTATAGATATAACCTCCTGTGTAAAACGTGTATGAAATGTCAAAAATACAGATATTATGTTTATTGAACTATTAATTTAATTGAGAATTGGCCCATAAAAAACTGGTCATTATAATCCTTTTTATGGTCTCATTTCTATTATGTTTATATATATGGGGTAGTTGGGGGGTTTCATTTATGATATGATTTGTTTTATTTATTGATTATGTTTTGTTTAGTTGTTTCCCAATCCCAAATGTAATTGCATGTCCAATTGTTGTGGGGCATGATGATGTAAGTCCATATCCATATGCAGCTGTGGAGCTCTACTGTAGCAGTAGCTGCCATGGCCCAGCGGAAACGCAAGTGGTTGTGCCTTCCATGTTTCTCATCATTCACTCCAAAAACCCATACACGAATCATTTGTCGTATATAATATAAAATTATAATAAAAAATAATTTTAATGCTCTGTCATATAAATTTTTTCAATAAATATTCACAATTTTATTAAAATAAAAATCTATAATCAAATAAAAATATAAATATTTTAATGTATAAATTTAAAAAACAAAAATTCTCAATTGATAAAAATTAAACACCCCAATTTTTCAAATGACCAAGGTTAGTCAACTGAAACACTGAACAGATAGCCATGGCAAGTCCTGTGGCGAAGTTGAAGCCTTCTTTTCCTTCTGCACGTACAATTACGACTAGTTGTCATTTTATAAGTCAGCTATATAAATAAACAGAGGTCAATATTGGTTTAGGTTACCTGTTGTGGAAATTAATACGATATCAAATTTCTCTGAGAATTTTCTTTTTTCAATAAACACCTATGTTAATTTTTCCAAGATACACGAAGCATCAAAATGCTTCCCTATAAAAATATTAGAGATTAATTCAGTATTCATAATTAATATATATAGTCTCTTAATCCAAATCAAGACATTAATTTGAATCTTAAATTAACGATTATTTTATATTATAAAAAATTAAATCAGTGTAAAAGTTTTTTACAAAGTGAACTTTACGTTTTATATATATATATGGAGTTTTCTAACTTGTGCAACTTTGCAAAGGATAAACCTTAATAAATACACCACTTAATTAATTTATATTAATTATTTTATCATAATATTTTTAAAAAATTATTTTTTACTCTTCTTTCATTAGTTAAATGATTTAGGAATTGAAATTTATCTTGTATAAGATTGCAAAGGTTAGAAAATCCGTTTATATATTTTACGGGAACCAATTTGAGCATTTACTTTTTTAGTCTTTCTTTTCTAGAAGCTATAATAAATGTTTACTCACACGAGTCAATTTGACCAGGGCCTGGCTACTGAAATTTCTGGTTATGAAAAAGCATTACAATTAAGGCAAAGAAAAATACAATATGTTATTATGTTCTATACACTGACAAAAGAAATTAAGATACCATGGAATGGCAACAATATCATGACTATGTTCCTATGATCTTTCGATTCGGAAGGTATTTCAATACTGGTGTAATTGTAATCGGGCATTGAATAAGATAGAACTACATACTTAGTTGATTAGCCACATAGGCTTTCTATATTGTTATACTTTATGTTGATATAGTTTTGGTTTAATTTTAGCAATTTAAATTTTGCTTTGGGCTCTAGATTCTAATCGGGTTAGGTGTGCTTTAAATTAGAGTTGCTGGCTGACAATAGAGTAGTTTTTTTTTCTTCCTCTCTTATCCTTTTAATTTAATGAAAGTCGATTTTGTGAATTAAATTCTCAAATAATTATGTAATTTAATTTAAAGAAGTAAATGCTATTTCACAAGAGAAACAAAGTTTGCGTTGATAAGAGATAATAAGTAATAGAAACAAAGATAGATGATAAATAAATGAATTAAATTGACAAGGTTGGAAAAATAGGCTGAAGATTGAATAGCCTCCGTGACCATTGTAGCATATGTAGTAACCTTAAAATTGTTGTTGTTATGTGGATAAACGTCTTTGTTTAAGGACAGTGGAAAAACAATCTTAAATAACAATTATACTTGTAATTTGTTTTTGGCTGTAACTTGGATGTAATATCTGTTATAAAGCACTGAACCGTTCCTCACAGACTGTAGTTTCGAATTCATATTTGTCTTCCATCATTCCAATTAAACAAGTATATTAATTGGATGTATTTCTTTTGTCGTTGACAAATCAATGAGACTACACTGTGATAAATGTCAACGTAAGATTGGTAATTGAAAGCTTCTTTAATGAAACTAAGAAACTTTGCAATGAACATTAATTGAATGATCTTAATTTTATACTGTACACTTCTTATTGAAATAGATATTGTAGGTAGAAGATTTATTATGAAATTTAAATCTTCTTTCTTCTGTCTCAACGTTGGTAGGATGCGGATTGCTTACAACCCATGATAGAACAACTACTAGGATTCAATGAAGAAAGGGATTTCATGCATGCACTTTATTTCCCTACAATAAATGATTTGGAGCATATATTAAAACAAAAGAAAGGTCCTTACATTGTACAATCAACCAAGATTTAGTACATATATCGTTGAGAGCTTCTAAAGAATTAATGTTTGAACAAATTGTATTCTATCCCAAATTTAATTTCTTCTATTTTCTTTCACGCAACTGAAAATCCAAAACCCATTTTTGTCAGACAACAAAACCAAGGAAACGCAATGTGTTAAGTTAGCGTTTGTTCAGGAAATTAAATGATGAAAAGGATGGAATTTAATTTATGTGTCTATTTATTTTCATTTTCTTCTAATTCTTAAATATATTAGTTCTAGTTGCAGGAATAGCATCAAAATTTTAAATAAATATCACTTTTATCACCGAGGAAGAGAAATCGGATAACTTTTAACATTATGTGAAACGTAGTTAATATTTATAAAAGCATGTTCTCTACATTAACTAGGTTTTGAAGCTTAGAAAAACAGGTTTTTAGTTTTTTCGGTCAAACTTAAGGTAAACACAAATTAAAGATCACACGAATCACCAAAAATATATAAATCAAAGTATCACAAAGTTTTGTGTTTCATATTGTGGGCCAAGTCCAGGAAGAAGAGGAGTCGAACAATCTTGGAATTGGCCCAATAGTTTAGTAGGCCCAGTAAACATAATAGCCCAACCCATTGTAAAGGGATACTCATATACGTATGACAGTATTTAGTAGAAGCGTAGATGTAGAAGTAGAAAACGCTTTATTGCCACTGTTTGATTCCACCACGTTGGAGAAATAAACTCAACTGACGAAGCACTGCACAAATTATACACAACAGAGACAGGAGCGAAAGAGAAAGAGAGAGAGGAACATGGCGACACTTGATTCCGACGTGCCGATGGTTCCCGCCGGCGAGCCCTCAAGCAGTGCCGGTCCTTCATCTAAGAAGCCCAAGCGATTCGAGATCAAGAAATGGAACGCCGTCGCTCTCTGGGCTTGGGGTATTTACCATCTTAAACCCTAATTTTTAGGGTATTTTTCGTTTTTGGGTTAAAATTTATTATATATTTTTTTTGTTTTTTTTTCTAGATATTGTTGTCGATAACTGTGCTATCTGCCGGAACCACATCATGGATCTCTGTAAGCATGCTGTTTTAATCTAAAACGGGCTTTTAGTTTGAAGCGATTCGTTTCGTTCCGCTTTTGAATTTTGGACACTGATTTTAGGTATTGAGTGCCAAGCCAACCAGGCTAGCGCCACTAGTGAGGAATGCACTGTGGCTTGGGGTATGTTCCGAATCCCTCTTATTTCTATCTCAATTACACTGTTTTTGTGATTTTGTTGGAAATATCTTTTAAAATATATTATTTTTAGCTGCCATGTTATGGTTGAAGCTAGATAGAATTGTTGAGATGTTATTGTAAATATAATTTGAATATATATAATTTATACTAAATATATTGTTTGCTTAGAATGCTTCAATCTCGATTGCAAGGAAATGTCTAGGTAGTTTGTTCTTCATAAGCTACGCCTAAATTGTTGCTGTAAAGTTCAAAATGGGTTTACTATGACCATTTGGTATGCTAACTATATTTCACTTATAGCATACAATTGCAAATGAGTATAGGAAAGTAACTGGGAATTTGATTCAAAACATTTGTCTGAATGCTATCATTTATTATCCTGAGGAAAATAACTTTTGATCCTCCAATTCTTCCTGGTGCTCTTTGTGCTATATGTGTTGTGTAAGATTTTGGGATGGTCACTGATGGCTGCTATTATCTCCTTGATCTTGTGAGACAAAGGTGTGATTCACTCTTAGGATGGGATGTAAGCTGGACATAGTTACTCTCGTGATATTTCTCTGTTTAACATTATCTAGGGCTGATTTTCCTCCTTTGTTGTATTTTACCTTTTTTATTTTTCCGTTCCATTCTTGAACTGAAGGAAATTCAAGATCTTATGCATACTGTAGTTCTTTCCACACTTTTATATTTTAGTATCTTCTTTTAACTTGGCTGCTTAACATTGTGGCTACTGCCTCTGCCTCACTTTGATGTGGCTTTTCAGGTGGTTAGAATAGGTATCCTTCTTATCTTTGTTGGCTCACCCCCCTACGCTCTCTCTCTCTCCCTCTATCTATCTCTCAATATATCTATTCATAAGTAGAATTCAGGGGAATACAATCAGAACTCTTAACTGAGGAAAAATAACATATTCTTTTCACTATATGTGATCATATTAAAGAAAAGAAAAGAAAAGAAAAGAAAGGAAGAGAGAAGTGTAATTATTTCCTGTTTTTGTTATTATCTGAGGGAAAAGAAACAAAGTTTCCCTTCCTTTGTTTGGTTTCAGCATGAAAAAAATGGACGTTTTAGTTAATGTTGAGATGGATAAAAACACATGTTGGCTCACTTTACTTTCTTCCCTTCCTTAATCCACCCAAGGAGTAAGGATGAGAAATTTTGGGACTCATGGATTCTTTCTCCATCCTAATCTCTCACTTTCCACCCCTGATACCAAACTGGGGATGATGTCTAATCAATATACATTTTCCTTTCCTTTTCCTTGTAGAACGACATTCCAAACAAATAGTTAATTCTAGCTTGTCCATTCATTACTGCATGCTATTTTACAGGTCATTTATCTTATGCAAGTGCATTAGATCATGATTTTATTTGTTTCTTTATAGATATCTTTCATTGTATAATTCTGCAGTTTAGGTTACATTCTTTTGATCAGTTGGGACGTCAAATAATAGTTTTTAGGTCATTCTCTAATAATGAAGGCTTCGGTGGTTGTTACTATTCTGCTTAGTGTATGCAGGATTACTCATTACTTGCTCCTGGCTTACATTCATTATCTTATACAGGGGTTTGTAACCATGCTTTTCACTTCCATTGTATTAGTCGATGGCTAAAGACCCGTCAAGTATGTCCTCTAGGTATGCAAGCCTAATTCCTTTTATCCTTCTTTTCTTTTAGGACTTAATGGATTAAGAAATGCACTTCTTATTTACCAATTGTTTCTGTGCGTTTGCAGATAACAGTGAGTGGGAGTTTCAGAAATACGGTCACTAAAACTTTGACGCAGTTGAGCTCCTTCGACATTTGCACTCGTATCCTAGCTTTTGCATATTAACAGCTGTCCCAATTATTTTCGATTGCTTGTCTACTGGATTTACCTTCAAGAGAGCAGTTTGTCTCGTGGAACTTGGTATATGTGGACAGACTACATGTAAAGTATTATTTTAATATTTTGATGTATGTGTTTTATTTGCTCTCCCTTTCGGCTGTTTATTTGTGGTGCTTTTGGACCGTGTGTGCTGGTTTTTCCTGCTTCCCCGTTACATTATATTTCGTTGCAGTTGATGTTAATGGATCTTTTTTACTTCTGCGTCAATTTTAAATCTCATTCGAGCATATTTGCAGTGTCATCACTGGTTGTCTTCCATAAACGTTTTCTTATTGAGTGGATTACCCGTCACCTGAATTATCAAATCTGGCCTTGTCACTATGACGTCAGTCGTGAAGGCTCGCTATCTCTTCTACACGCAATGTCATTTTATCTCAAGCAGAGCTACCTTTCTTCTTTCTCACGTTAGAAAAAATTATAATCTGTTCAAGTGTATGGTCTAGTGTTTCCTGTCTCGGTGCTCCTTTCAAAACAATGTTTCCATTGACGAGTGATTTTGCTGGTACCACCAGTGTTTGGGCCTCTTGAGTCGCTTGAAATACCAAAATGTTTAATCTGGTAATTATTATTATTAAAGGAATCAGGTGTCCTTGGTAGACTGTTTACTCAGTGGTTGATGAAACATGTCCAGTTAAGTTATAAGTAAAGATTAATGACAGTAACATTTTTTAACACATTCTTTAGTACATATTTTATTATTGGTTAAAATTTATTAAAAATTAATTTAGAAGAGAAAAAGAATAAGATTTACATGATTTTTATACTTTTCAATAAATTTTAGTTAATAATAAAAAATGTGTTAAAGAGTATATATTAAAGAATGTATTGCTAGCATTATTTAAAAAATAAATAAAAGTTAATTTGAGCTAATACCCATCCAGTACATGGATCCTCTGATTTATCATGCAATGGAGGAGCGAGCAACCTATTGATTAAAAACTGGAGTTTGTAAGCATAAGACCAAAACGAATAGGGTGCAGAAGCTGATAAAGAAAAGAGTAGTAATAATTTTACACAACTTTTTGAGGGGTGAAATGAATGTAGAAAAGAGAGATACGTAATAAAGGGAAAAAATTGTGAAGAATGATGTGATAAAAATGAGCGTAAATAAAATATAAGAGAAAATATGTGAGAATTAATAGTATAAAGTAAACGTGCAACTATAAGAATAATGCTATTTACGTAACATCATTTAATCTGACAATAATTATATAAAGGAGAGAGATAGAAAGAGAAAAATGAGGTAAAATGAATAATATGATAGAGAAAATAAAAATTATTATAAAAATAACGTTACTTTATCAATAATGGTCAATGTTTGAGTTCAATAAGATAGTTTTATTGCGGTGTGTAACGAGCATATAGCTGATGAAAAATACAAAAGTAATTAGTGTGTCATGAAATTCTTTGTTCAGAAATTGAGCATCATATTTCTGTTTTTTGTTTATTATTGGAATATCTTAACGGGGGATTAATCTCTTTTGCACTGTCCTACTAACCCCTCAACATTGCTGCGACTACGAAACCCTCCAAACAGTTCGTCAGTTATGAAACAGAAAATATAAGAAATTTTAATTTTAATTTTAAAATGCAGTTTGACACGTTGGAAACTATATCTTTTAACCATCGAAGATACTTATTTAGATTCACTAGTCCGATCATGGTTAAATCGTAATCGAAGGTAATAATAATAATAATAATAATATATTATAACTAAAATAGTAAAAGATTAAATTTTGAGAAATCTTAGTATAAAACAATCATATTAGATAGCTTGCAATTTAGATAAAATAAGTGTTAAATAGAAACATTTTTGAATGTAATATGTTAAATATATATAGTTTGCACAAACTGTGAAGAAGTAATGGGATAGTGACGAAGGGCGGTTCAATGGCCGATTAAGTCGCCAGTTTAAGAGGCTAAACATTACTAAAGTGGTCAGAGATCAGCCGAGCCATTTCAATTTTCTAAACAATGGTTGCACATACTTAACAGAGGATTATACATCTTCATTATAATTTTCTAATATTTTAAAATTTTAAAAATATTTATATATTTTTTTAATAAAATTATTAATTTCTGTTTTTTATTATACATGTTTAATATAAGATTGATTTTTATATGTAAAATAACATAAAATGTCTTATTAATTTATAAGGTACTATAGAAATTATTAAAATATAATTAAGAACAAGAACATATTCTTGTGACGATCACATATATATATTATTAATAAATAGGAATTTCTGTCTAACTTGTAATTTACTTCGAAGGCAATAGAAAAGGAAAAAATGATTAATGCCCTCTAATTTTAAACCAAAATCCTTTCTGAACCACATAGGTCAACCCTCTCTCTCTCTCTCTCTAGCGTTGGTTTTCAGTTGGAGTTTCAACTGTTACTTTAACTTCCTCAACACCGTGTGGCCCACCACAAGATTCTACGGTATGGCTTCCCTTTTTCTCCATTCTTCACTCATAACTTTCGGTTATAAATGTCTCTACAAAAGGTTTTCTCAACTTCTGGCCAAACACTATATATCTTATTATTATATATTGTGTTGGCTTTGTTGTTAGAGTTAGAATAATGGATCATTCTCTGAATTATTCATCAAGAGAAAGGGTGGAAGCTACCACCAAAAACCTAAGTGGTTCTGATCAGGAAAGTGGATGGACATCTTACTTGGAAGATTTCTCAAAAGGCATGGAACCCAGTTCTTGTTCTAGCTTGGATGGTTCCTCTTTGCTTTCAGATGCTGCTTCTTCTGCTGCATGGAAATTATCTCATCACAATCATCTTCTCTCTTGCTCTTTAGTTAAAGCTAGTGGTCATAGTGCGCCGAATCTACCTCAGAAACTAAGTTTCAAGAGAGCAAGAACCAAACATATATCAGAAGATGACCCTTTGGAAGACACTGCTAGCTCTCCAGTCAATAGCCCCAAGGTAAAACAGCAACTTCATATTATTGTTTCTTTTATGCGTGATTTGATTTTTCTTCTCCTTTTCCTCTTTCGTGAGCAATTGGATGGTGATATTTTCTTTTCACTTTTTTTAATATAATATATCATTATTAATTATGTGTAGGTGAGGGACTTGAATCCAACTGAAATCATTTCCAGGAAGGTTGATGATCAACTAGGAGGTTCTATGGTAAACCTGGATTATAATGTTTTTCATGATCTGAAGAGAAGAAATAAATAAATTTGGTTCTGAATCGTAGCTAACCATGTTCTATATGTGGTTTCATGATCATGATTGTGTAGGGTGGTAAGGGATTCACATCATCCGAGAATTATTCAGCTTTGCAGAGGGATGATGATGATGAGCATGAATTAAAATATAATGGAAAGAACATTGATTGCACAGACTTGAAGAAAAGGGGGCTATGCCTGGTTCCTTTGTCCTTGTTAGTTAATTATTTGGGGTGACTAATACTTTTGTCTATATAGCTTCTCTCTCTCTGTCTACCCCTCCTTGTCTCCTTTTCTCTGTGTTTCTAATTCTCTGTGGCCCAAGTTGTGGAATTGTATACTATAGAGCATGATCAATGACTGTGATGTACAATCTGTATGTATATACCAATCCTAGTTAACAGTTTGATACATTTGTGCTTGTAATTAATTTGTTCTTGAAAGGAAGCTTAAGCACACGCTTTTCTTAATTATTATCCATAATTATTATCCATATTAATCGCTCAATATGAAGTATAAAAATATGAAAATAAAAAAGGATATAACATATTATTAAGATAATGTTCGCTATCATGTGGTGGATGTCCTTACTATAAATGTGAAATTAATAAATTAACCAAATGTGGATTCTCACGAATTAATGGAATAGGGAGATTAAAAACACTAGTCATGCTGATAATGGTGATGAATACAGGCAAAAGATTGGTATTGCAGTCGATGTGAATCAGGTGGGTCAAAAGGTTTAAGTTGGTCAATCTTTTTTTAACTTAAAAATTATGTGATGTTTGATAACCAAAACTGGTAAGATAACCAAATCTAATTAAGTAGCAATGCCAATTTGAGTTAAACAGTAAACAAATAAATGTGTTTTCCGTGTGCATAAAAAAAAATAAAATAGTTTTGTTTAGAAATGTAAAATCCAATATAATAACTTTCATATCTCAAAAAAGATTAGTCTCTAATTATTAATCTTTTAATACAAAAATACACATACACATGCTTCTTAGTGCAAATTTTCGTACATGTTTGAATTTTATTTAAAAATCTTTAAATTATGGTTTAAGTATAAGAATTAGCATGATATAACTTTTACACAAAATCATGATTTGTCGGATTCAAGAATCCAAACATACTACAAATAGTTTGTAATGATTAAGAAATATGCTTTTACACATTCTCAAATAACACTTTCACAACCCTTTTGTAAGTTATAATGGGATAACAACTAAAATTGTACAAATAATTTTTTATGAGATTATATAAATAAGAAATTAAATAAAAAAATCAGTGACGATGACACATCTATTTTTATAGGCAATGAGGAAAAAAAAAGAAAAGAGAGAACGTGCAAGTCGTTGGATTCCAACAGCGTGTCAAGCCCGGTACCCTGTAAAGAATCTTTAATTTTTTGGTAACATTATCGTATCACCTTATATCATTACATTTTTTTATATTAAAAAAAATACCATGCATTATTTAAAGGGAAAAAAAAAAAAACTAGCTAGCAAGAGTACTCATAATTATAAATAGATACACTGCTTACATCAAAATCAAAGAAGGATGTATTGCGCTATTGGCGTGCGGATAATGTTTACATTTTTTAAGGATTTTTTTCACATATTTTAGAAATATATTTTAGTTTGTTACTCATATGCCATTTAATCATCTTTTATAATCAGCGAAATTAATTTTGTTTCATATATATATCCATTTAGTGTATTCCCTTGATGAGCATTGGTCTCCTATCCTATATGATATCTTAAGATACACCCTCATAATAAACAAAAAGTATGTATTGTTCTACATACGAATATGCCAGTGGTTAATATAATGCTTATTATATATATATATAGAGAGAGAGAGAGAGAGAGTTTCCTTTGTACCCACAAAAGTGTTTAGTTTATAGGATATAATATTTAATTAAAAGAAAAGAGTAGATTGATAAGTTTAAATATTATATATGAAACCTTCTACTACCTCCTGCTGGCCATTCATTTAATAAAGAATACATAGAAATGGCAGCAAGAAAACAACCCTCCATGTGCTCAAGCATTTAAAACAGGTTAGAAAACGGAAGATTGCGCGAATTACATAAGCATATTACTTACAAATTCCACCATGAAATGCTTTCTCGCGCCCAGCTCCATTATTCTTCTAAAAGCTAACATTATTTTTCATTCATTTTTAGTATCTTTTCGTACATGGGAATGCTAGCTGATCCCATTCCATAATTATTGTGAATACTATGTAGTATTTACAGCTAGCCCTGCCCATTTTGTCAACATCAAGTTATGGTTCAAAGCTTCTATAATACTCGATACGTGTGTGTGCAATCCATTGCCAAAGCTCAGCATTTCAAATGGTAGCAACTTTTGTATGGTTTAATTTGTCTGTTAATTTACCAGTCTCCATCAAAAAGTATACATACTACTAAAATGGCGAAACTGTTGACAGCGATCTCTATGTATAATCGCATGCGACTTCAAGATTATCATAGTTTCTCACATGAGATGGTTGGAGATTAGGCTAATAATTGATAAAGGAATAGAGGAAAATTCAAATGCATTACGTCAAATAATTATATGAGCCTCCTCATCAATTAATACAGGATAAAACTTACAAGTAGTTTGAAAAGACAATTGGTTTGAACCACTTGGCTAAAATTTAGTTAACATCATACGTTAGGTACCCCATCAAAATAGTTAACAACCACTAATGATGTGATTTGAGTTATGGGGTGGTAGATCAAAGGTCTAATTCAAGCTCTAAACCGATAATAGAGAATCAAGGTCACCTTTCATGGTGATCAATCGTCAATTAATCCCTGCATCCGCAGCATTTATATCTAACATAATCATGGACATTATAGAGCTTATCTGTAATGCATATTTGAAAACACATACACATATTTCTTAATTTGAAGGGTAATAATCTAAACCCATTTAGCTTTCTGTATAACCTAAAAAAAAAAGAACGAAGATTAGAAGTATTGAAAGCTTGAATTATGTTATTCTTTATTTGTTTTATTTTTCCTTAATTATACTTGTGAAGTAGTTTAACTTTTTCTTTTTCTACCTCGTTAGGCAAGCTTTTGGAGCAGAAAAACGCAAGTCTAGGCAGACTCTTAACGAGTTCGCTCATTGTTATGCTCTTTCTCTAACGAATTAAATTTATAAATAAATAAAAAAAATACTACACCCACATATACCTCTTACAAATGGTATATTCTTCTTAAATCCTTAAATTGCAGCAATTATTACCATAAGCACTTCCATTCAATTTCTATGAATTCACTAACGGTTGTAAAATTCACTTAGACTCCAATTGTACAACATTTTAGTAGTGATGGAACATTTTATGTTAATCGATCGTTTGTTTGTTTATTCAAAATTGATTTTACTGGGTTACAACTCCAAACAAACAAGCATTCTAGCTTATTTAATCTAATTTATATTGTTTTTTTAATTATATTTTATTTTTATTCGCTGAATTTTTCTATACACACAGACATATATATACCAATAACAGAAACAGAATAAATAAAAAAATCTCAGTGGAGCACAAATCAGCTAGCTGGTGAGATCGTATATAGAAGAATTTGGTACCATTTGACAATGATAAAGTTGATGTTTTTCTTTATATAAAATTATACTGAACATAAATTTAGACTAAATTAAATTATCATAGTTTAATGATTAAATAGAAAGATTTTGTAGTCTAAGTGGGCCATTAAAAATTAAAGGTTAAATTTTAATGAGTTGTGAAGCATTTTTCCTAAGATTTTAAAACAATGATATTTGTAAAAAAAAAATTTCAACCTGTATTCTGCTTTTAAATATAGATACATAGACAGAGAGACGATTCTGATAGAGCAACCTAAAGTCCACAAAAAAATAAAAATAAAAATAAATAAATAAATAAATATATATATATATATATATATATATATATATATATATATATATATAACCCTTTCTTTATTTGAACTTCTATCATTTGGACAAAATAAAATAACTTCTAACAGGAAAATAAAATATAAGAGTTAAATGAATGTTTTTTTCAAGGAGATTTCATTGGTAAAAAACGCGCCCTACAGATTTGTATCTTTGGAGTCACAAATTCACTTCCATTGTGGGTAACTATTCGTAAGTATGGTTAGACATGCATTTATATTAATTTTTAGTTATCAATATTCATGTCTCTTATTCTAACATAAAATACCTTTCTCCTTTAATATGATTCCTGTGTCTATCTATGTCTATTTATACAATAAACATACATATAAGTGTGTGGTGAAGATAACAAAAGAAAGCAATTTTCACTTAAAATGTCAAATATGTAGACACAGTGTAGATGTCGCAGATATGCACGCAGAAAGGAAGAGTAGATGGTATAATGAAGAACTGTTCTTATAAGAACAAATTTGATATGATCACTCTCCTGTGGAAAGGTATGGCATGTTCGCGTGATTTTCGGTCCATAGAAAGAAAAGGGAACAAAGAAGTAATTGAAGGGAAAGGCATTGGTTTTCAAATTATACCTTTCCCACTCCCATCAAAGTATATAAATCAGAAACAGCATGTGACCCTTCAAACTTTAATCCACTCTATTCGCTTCAAAAGTCGTATTCGTAATTTTGTATTGCACATTGATGTGATTGGTATAGACTTAGTGTAGAAAACATGTTTCTTTTTGTCCCCTTCACAACAATTTAATCACTCATCTTAGACCCGTGAATCGAAAAGTTACGCCAATTAGTGAACAACTAGCGTTGATTTGAAAAAGCTACTCACACGTTCAAGAGTTGCGTAATCAAACTAATTGTGTGTGTCTTCTTACAAAATCTCACTCTTCACTTTCGTTAATTTGCTTTTCAATTAGTTATTGAAATTTATCATTTATTATAAGATAGTTTAATCACATAAATTTATGTATAAATAATCATTATTTATTTTTCTAATAACTATTTGTAATATTAACTTATATCAAACAAAGTTATATATTTATATTAATTATATATATTAAATTTTTAAACAAATTAAATATTTATATAAAATTTTATAATTAATGTTGTGATTTTTTTAGATTTAATATATTTAAGAATAATTTCGTGTGTGTATATGTGAGAAATATTTGTAACAAATTTTATATCATAGTCTTTTAAATATATTCTTTTAATTAGTTAAAATTTGTTAAAGTTATATAAATTTCATTTTTAATACAATAAATGTCACTTTTTTAATAATTTATATAAAAAATTAACAATTAAAATTATATTAAAAAAATTATAGATATGTTATTCGATTTTATCATCTAATATAACAATCTTTATTACTATAGAAGCTCTCTTAAAGTCACAAGTACACTTGAATATGTAAGAATGAGGAGCAATACTATGCTAATTAATGGCTACCAAAAAAATGTTGGAATGAAAACATAAACTTATAGGTTAGATATTTTCGTAAATGAAAGATCGACTCCATTTCTAAAACTCTAATGTGTAGTACTCCACTTAAGATTACCAAATACTGTGACAAACGCATTCATCTACTTGGCTTTCGTATATATTCATGATAATAAAAAAGCAGGCATATGTATATATATATCAGATATATCAGGTACATTAACATTGATCGTATCTTTGAACAAATCAACTAAATTTAAATGATCGCATCATTGAACTCTCAAGCAAAATGTTTCATTTCTTAAGGACCCAGAAACATGTTGCAAACATTTTGCAATTGACCCAAAAATAGATGACGAAATCAAATACCTCTAAGCAGCAATATTACTTTTACAATATATTAAATAACATTCTAAGTGTCAATTCTTAATGGCCGGCAGCTAACAACCTATGCATAAACTAGGGAACAACTGAGGAATATAATGAGAATAATATCCATGAAGCTCTAATCACGAATCTTATGGGGCCAAAAGGGACCTTAATTAGTTTTGGGATTTGGACCACATTCCCTCCTCTTTTGCCAATAATGTCTTCAAGACTTGTATTGCACTTACGTACCACAATGGAATTCCTATCATAAGTGCAAGCTTCAGCGTCAACTACTCACCTAATAGACTTGTAACTTTGATTTAGAGGACATATATATATTTTTAATTCTCTTAGTTATTAAACAAGAAATATTAATTTTTAATATTTTTATTATAATAAATATATATGCTTTTCATTTAATATTTATTTTACAAAACAAATGTGAGATGATGTCCAAGGATTGTTACAATATATTCATGTTAACTACAAGAACATACTGGTATAGAATTGTAAAATACTTTAAAAAATTGATATTTTCATGCAAAATAATCATTATTAAATTTAAAAGAGAAAATTTTAATTTTAATGCACTGTTAATATAAATTAATAAGTCACTAATTAACAAGACAACATATGTCAACGTAAATTTTTTTATACCATCAGTATATTTAAATTAAATTTATACTATCAACTAATTAAAATATACTGTGGATATGACTTTTAAAAATAAGTTACTAAATCTATCTATTTGTTTTGATAAGATTGAAATATTAAATTCAAAGTTTTAAATATAATTTTCATTTGACATTAAATTATCTTTTTAATAATACAATGTTTAAAAGAATGCAAAATATAGGTATTCACCCTCGTAACCAAAATATCATTTAAATAATAATAAAATCAATATTTATATTTTAAATTACATTTATTAATAAAATAAATTAATAGGATTTATTAGTACATACTGACATTTTAAAAAATTATTTTGAATAATTTTTTCAAATAAACATAGTTTTGATTAGAATTTTTTCCTCAAAATGGTTAATATTATATAAAAATAAAATCAATTTTGATCAAAATTGGATTTAAAATTAATTTTAACTAAAACTAAATTTAAAACTGGTTTTTAACAAATTCTAAATTTAAAATCTAATTTATATAATTAAATTTAAAATGGATTTAGATTAGTCTTAAAAAATCCAATTCATCTACACTCTTAATTTTGGAAGTTACTTTACTTTCTTACTGTCTCAACATACATAATGTATTATATATCAAATTTTTTAATTAAATATTAATATAAATTTAATTTTTATAGTAAAAAATTTATTATTAATAATTATAATATTTTCTTTTTAAATTTATAAAATTTTTAAATAAAAAAAAATTAAATTAAAAAAATCAGTCCATTTAGTCTTTTAGTTAAAGTAATGTATTATTATAGAATTATTTTTTTATGATAAAATATCAATAAATAAAAGAGCAGGATCTTCTCATACTAATATAAATTAAAAAATTCTTATACTTGATCTACACTTTTTATTTACCTTATATCTAATAAGTTATAATTTATTTTTTATAATTGATTACTTCAGTGATCGTTAGATGTAAGTTAAATGAAAGACTCAGATTGAATATAAGAATTTTTAAACTTATATTAATGTGAAAATATTATTCTCCATAAAAAAATGATATTAATGTTCTGTTATTATAATTTCTAAGAATTTATAATATATTATCTTTGATTAATATATACATTTAAACTTTTATATTTGTGAATTATTTTTACACTACACATATATTATTAAAATAAAATAAGTTTGTTTTTCAATAAAATAAACTACATTACAAGACTCTTTTAAATTTAACAAAATTTAATTTTTTTTTTAAAATAAAATATTTTTATTAAGATAATTAGTATTCTATAATATTAATTAGGAATGAATAAAAGAGATAAAAAAATTTTAAATTAAAAATAAATTATGAAGATTTTAAAATTTATAAATCAAATCATTATTGAATTAAAAATCAAATATTAAATGTAAAAAAATTATGTGACAAAATTATGAAGATAATCATATTTATTTAAAAATATTTTTATTTAAGATAACTCTACGTGTCATTTTATAGAATAAAAAATTTGTCATATTAAGCTCCTTTATGCAGATTCTTTAAGCTTCAATTAAAACCTTTGACCTGAAATTATTTTAGTAGGAAACTTTTTTTTTCTTTTAACTGGACAAAAAATGATTTGCAACCTTACTCCATCTTGTTATTGCACGTAAAAGACTTATATATGAGCTTTTTTATATATTTTTTTCAATTTTAATTTTCAATATTGAAGGAAATATTGAGTTGTCAATATTTGTAAAACTGTATTATATTACTCGAAAAAGATGAAAATTAAGTTATTTAAAAGTAATTTTAATAAAAGTTATTTTAATAAAAGTTATTTCAATTAATAATTCTATAAATATTAAATTTTACTAATTAAAAATTTTATTAAATAAGTGAAGTCTATAAAGAATTATACACAATTAATTAGCAGTTCATCATGAAAATTTATTTTAATGTCTAATTTTTTTAAATATAAATAAATTGATAAAATTGATAAGAGGGATTTAGTAGAGTAACTCTACTTGTTCTTTAATACTACAAAAACCATTTTAAGAGGGATGTTTTTTGTTTTTTCTTAATTGCAATATGTAATATAAACATAATATCACATACGGTGCCAATATTACAATGTCTAAATAACGAAACTGAAAAAATAATGCAGCAACTACGAGTCAAAGGGATAAAAAATAAAAAACAATTTGAAGAGAAAGCAAACAACAATTTTTTCCCCTCCCATTATTCTTTGCTTAACCAAGAGAATATTGACTGAAAATTCAAAGTCAATTTGAAGCAGGGCTTCTGTTAAAATTCTTCCCTTTGAAATTAACAATCATAGGTCGATTTTTGATGTGCAGCTGGAATCAGCCTCAATAGCACTTATGTTGAAAGACATGTCACATGAGATATAAACCGTGGCCTTCAACTTGAAAATATTGAGCACACTCGCTTTCCCAGGCAATGTGGCCATTGATGTCAAATTGAAGACCATATCTTCAATATCTGACAAAAAATCAACATTACCTAACAATTTTCCAGTCATAACACCAGCAGAAGTGCTCACATTCACAGTGCTACGTGCAGGGACTGAATTTGACACCAAGGGAACTTCAGCTATAATGGTGTCACGATATTTTACATAACCAGTGGAATTACTGTAGCTGAAACTTCCGTAATTTGGGTTCACTATTGTGATTACCATGCCTAGAGGTGCATTAGTTGAATTGGGTGATAATAACTGAAAGTTATCAAGGTCTACTGGGTGGACAAATATATCTGGGTTCTTGGGTTTAAATATGGTAAAATACAAGGTCACTAGCACGGTGGCAATAATGATAAAAAAAAGAAAAGAAACGATCAAGCAAATTTTGAGGCCTCGACCTTTAGTAGCCAGAATTTCTGGTTCTGGGTAGGTAGGAGAATCGGAATTGCCTTTGGAAACTTGTGATTCTATTGGATTATGTTTCATTGTGACTTGAACAGATAGGGCTTAGTTGTTGTTCTAACTTGAACGGATAAAGGGTGTTCCTGTGTATAGATGTGATTCCGTGAGGTTTGTGAATTGAAAGTTTGGGGGTTTTTGGTTGGTAGAAATCAAAATCAATCGTTGGATGTGGCCTAAAACTTCGGCAAATGATTCCTAGTAAGATAACAACCCACGAGAACTAGTTAATGCTGGTATCTATACAAAACATGCATATTTATGCAGAAAGCAACAAGTAGTACTAATATGATGATGACAACACTGTGAATGAAATACAAAGCATTTGTTGGATATTGTGTGTATTTCCAAAAGTTGGTTTTACTGTAGTTAATTTTATTTGATCTAATATATTTTTGTGAGATTTGTTTTTAACCTAATTTGTGATAAATTTTACTTTATCAAAATTTTATCCATTATTACTATCATCACTTGGGTACGGTTTATAAAAAGAACAAAATATTGAATCCTACAGATGTTTGCATTATTAAAATTTTATTATGTTTGATAAATAAATCCTTAAGAACAATGTTTTTACACGCCTTAAGCTATCAATTTTCTTCTTGTTCTTCTAATTTTTCCTACAGTATTAACACCATAATAACTATTACTAATAATTATAATATTTTATTTATCTAATTCACCTTGTCAGACTAATTTCATAAAGATTAACGGAGCGATATGATTAGACCCCTCCCCATACGCAATGTTTCAAGGGGTGGGATGGATTGTCTCTTGAGTGAATCTCTATGGATGAATGAATTGGATTTTTCTATTATAAAACAATTATATTAATAGAAAATGAGAAACAAATTAAATTTGAATTTTGGTTTTACCTGAAATCTTGATTTGCTTCTCGTCAATGAATACTCCGTTGAGCCTCGGAAATCGCAAGTGAGTAGACGATACTTCAATGCTATGTGTTTATGCAAAAATAGGTAGCGAGTGATGAAACAGATCATGTTTATGCGGGGTATTAAGTATTAACCCCCTTATATACTGAACGCTTTGTTGAAATAAGATAAGTGTTGATTAAGTGATCTTAGTTGATATGTTAATCATATTGGCTGAGTTTGAGTTAGTTTTCATAAAATAAAATAAAATAAAATAAATTTATTTTAAATTATTATTCTTTGCTTTAAAAAAAAACCTTATCCATAAATTCAACCAGACGATTATTAATTCAAATAACATTATCTTGGATTACCGCAACAAATTTAATGACCTTGCTTTCTATTAACCGCTAGTGAATTTTATTTGCATTATCCATGTGGCCCACATGCCAAGTTTGGTAAATTATTTTTTCATAAATAAAAAACTAAAGTATACACATGGTTTTTTTTTTAATTCAATAAAATTATAATTTTTCAAAAATGTATTAATAATAATATTTTATTGTATTAAATAAGATTAAAAAATATAACTTTTAAAATTAAGAAATAAATATTGAAATTTCAAAATTTAGATTTCAAAATAAATTTGACTTGAGAATAAATATTAAATATAAAAAATACATGATACAATGAACAAGATTATTACATTTTTTAAAAATTAAAAAATAAATTATAGAAATTTCAAAATTTAAACCTAATTCACCTCATATGAATTTATTCAATTTAACTTGCCAGTTGAGTGAATCAAAACATAATAACTCCAAAAATTTGTGAACTCAAATTTTTACGATCCAACTTATCAATAAATTGAATTGAAACAAATTAGCTAACAAACTTAAATTTATTTTGACAACTCCCCTCTTAAGTGTAAAGATACATAAATAATAATTCTTGAATTTAAGAGTTAAGACTAATACTTATATGAATACATTGTATAACCGACACGATCAATGATTCAAAAGTTTAAAGTAATATTAAAATTAATTTGTGCATTAATTGGAATACAAATTTTATTATTATCTGAACATATCTTGTGTTTTAAATTGATTATATTTATATAGGTAATTAACACGGGGTAATTCACTTAAACTCAGTACGAAAAGTTCTTTTATAACTCACTCATATATTGGGCTAGTTTTCAACTAACATTCCAATGTACCTTATGCTTCTGCATCTTATATTCCATTTGCACTCTGAACAAAAGATTATAATCACAACTAACACCCTCAATTATAAAGATAATAGAATATCAATGATTATGAAATAATAAGTTTAAATCACGCGTATAATCACTAATTAAAGATCAATTAAGGATTTTTAGTTTAATTTTGAGAAACTAAATTAGTAGCTGGTATTTTTCTTTATATGATATGCATGAATCTGACTAGGAAGGTGACTATTTTTTTTTTTAATTTAGTTTAATTCAGATCTGATGTGCACATAGATGTAGTGGATGAATTTATTATTAAATTTTTTTTTGTATATATAAAAACTCAAATCCAAGATTTTACTTAAGCAATTTTATAGGCAAAAAATTAATTATGGAACATGATCTTTTAAACGATAATCGTTATCCATCAATTATTAATTGCAGATCTCTAAGTTATATTTTGGACGCAATTAAATAATTAGTCATAAACTTTAAAGCCCTGTTATTTGTCACAATCAGGGTGGCCAAAATGGTTTTATGTACATACACCAGCCATCTAGAATCATCATCCATTAGAATACTCTTCCATTGATATTTTGTTATAATACAGCAGAATATTACTCTATCAGAAAATTAGGTTATCATGCATGCATAATTAGCTAGATTATATTATATATTCAATTTAGACACTTATTTAATATTTTTTTATAGGATATAAGATTAATTAATTTAATTATTAGTTTAAAGATCCATATTAAGTAAATTAATTTTATAAAATTTTATACAAAATTAAAATTAAAATACTTTATTCCATTATTTTATTTTAATGTATAATATTTTAAAAATATAAGTAAATATTAAAATTTAAATAATACACCTATAAATGATTAAATTATATTAAATTTAATTTACATGATCATAAGAATAATATAAGATAATTCAACAATTAAATTGATTAATTTTATAAAAAATTATTAAGTAATATAAGTATCCTCGTATCAATAAATTAATCCTGACTATATATATATATATATATATATATATATATTCTAATGAATAATTCTTTTATCTTTTTATTTTGTTATTGTTTATTTTTTAAGTATTTATTGAGACATTCTATCATATTTAGCTTTGATTTAGTTTTGAGTACTTAAACTCAAGTATCTTAGTATATTAATTTTAAAGAACAAATTAGCTATCAAATTATACATGTGATTAATGAAAATTTAACTTTCAAGATAATGATTTTACTCACGACGTAATTGTTTACTCTATTTTAAACTGAAGAAGCAAAATTAAACATTGGATAAGCCAAGATAATAACTTTAATCACCACATAATAGTTTATTTTATTTATTTATTTATAACAACACTTAAAAAAATATAGGAATGGGATGAAGGGCTCCTAATAAAGAGGCAACGAGAGGTTAGAAATGGAGGCTAATGAAACACAAAGCGTTGGGTGCACTTTTTTATTTGATTAATTTAATTCTACATAGTTTTAAAATTTAATTTTAGACAAATCTGAAAATAAAAACAAAAAAAATATTCAAGAGATTCTTTGTTGAGATCAATGAAAACATGTATGCATTTATTTTTTTATTGTTTTCAAATTTCATATATAAAAAATTAAACCATGAATAGGTTATGTCCTTTGCTAAACAGAAGACGAGTCCATAAAGCAAGATGAATGGCCCAACTACGATGTTAGCAGTTGGCAACTATCTCATCACATCCACATGACATTGTTGACCCATAAAATAAAAAACATCCACGTGACATCATACCCTATTACCTACTAGCCTATTTTCATCATTTAAAATCAAATAAGTGTTAAATAAAAAAAATGTCTAAAACAATATTTTCAATAAAAAATTTATACATTTATGTTAATTACAAGTGCTTTTAAGTAAGATTTAAAAATTTTAATGTAATCGTTTTAAAATTTTATAGCTCATTTTTTTATCAGCTTTTATGGTAATAAATGGGCCATATTTTTTTATTGAAAATTTATATTGACAATTTTATAAAGATAAATGATAATTGATAATGTACACGCATAGGGATGTCTCTTTTTTAACGACTTTTTTTCTTCTTCTGAAAAGAGAAATGTTCTTGCCCACTTAAAAATCCTCCTAAATTATATATATATGAAAAAAAATGGTCTAATTGTGGATAGATATGAAAAGGGAAAAAAAAAAAGTAAACTATACTCTCTTTTGTAAGAATTTTTTAAATCATATTGTGTAAAAGGATTACATTGATTTTTCTTAAGAAACAAAATGTACACTTTAATTTATTTTAATTTAATAAAATTTCTTAACTATAGAAAATAACTATTAACAAAACTTTTGAAAATTTTGTTAACCTCTATTTTTAAAGTTAAATTTAAGTATTCACAAATAAAAAAAAATTATAAAAAAAAATATTATTATATTAAAGTTATAAAAATATGATAAAAAATTTTCTTTCTAATAAAATTTTATTATTATTAGCTGTTTATTCTCATTTTTAAAAATTGAGTTTAACAAAACTCAACTTTTAAATATATTTTTTTCTTATAACTTTTAATATCAGCGATAATCAATTTTAAGTATCTTATTATCATCAATTTTAAAATTTAAGAAAATAACATATAGTTTCAAAATTTTCATTTCATCTTTTAAAGTTTCAAATTCAATAATAACACTTTAAAACTAGTAACATATGTTAATATTTCGGAAAAGGTAGCAAAATAGACCCATTTACTAAAAAGTTTATCCAAATAAATTACAATATTTTAAAAAATGGAAACAAAATTATACGCAGGGTTTACATGCGTTGGGAATTATGAGTTGATATGTACAGTGTAAAAATGTTAGGCAATGGAAGATGATTGAAATTAAGAAAAGAGTAATTCTATTCCATTAAAGAAATTATGCATAGCTTTCAAGATGTAAAAGTGA